ATGTCATTGTCACATTTTAAATTGTTATTGGTGTAGAGCATAATTTAGCCAACTCGGTTAGCTTTGACCCTTTATTGCACTTTGTTTTTTTGTATATGAAAATATATAAGTTTCATTTTTTTTGGGGAAATTTTTGTTACTTATTTTGCTCTATGCAACAACAGCGAACAAACTTTACGAGTATAAGTGAGTAGCTTTGAATATTTTATGAAAATGAGATTGGTTTTTAGGCCCAAACCGGGTATAACAACAAGCAAAGCCAAGCCAAGGCAAGGCAGGCAGTCAGGCTGGCTGGCTGGAAGTCTGGCAGACAGTCATGTTATAGAAAAAAGTCGTCGGTCGGATACTTCTTCTGAGTGTTCTGTGGCAGTCGGTGGCTTTGGCCATGTGGTTTGGGTTTGACGTCGCCATTTCGGCCATATTTTGTATGCAAACGAGAAACAAAGGCAATTTTTTGTTGGTTTTTATTGTTGACGTTATTTCTCCAAAGATTTGTTTACAACTTCAAATGTATATTTAAACAGAAGTGTATGTGTGCGCGAATATCCCGGCAAACGGAAAGGATAAACAAAAAACTACACTCTTTTCTAATTATGCTATTGCCAAAGTGCAGTGCTGCCTCTGGAAAGCAGGATTTAGTAGCCGTTGTTTCGTTTTTGATATCAAATTTAAATCCCGCCAAAGTCTTCTTTTGGGATATTATAATTTTCGTTGTGTTTCGGAAGAATGAGTCGCTGTGTCGTTTACCTTCTTCCCTTGTTGCATATTTGATGTAGCCACAGTTTAATTGTAGCCAGTCAAAGTTTTGTTTTGTTTTCATTTTTTTTTGACTTGGCCAAATACAAACATTACCAACTTTGACCATTAACTATTTGCAGCCTATGCAAATGGCAAGTTTCTTGTAAACCCCTCCCCCCTCACTGACATTTGTATTTGATATTCGGTGGTGATGGTGGTGGATAAAGTGTGCACTGGATATTTGTTTTGTGTGCAATGAAAATGTAATTTTCAATTTTCGACCTGCAAAATAAGTAAATTCACAACTTCAATATGAAATTACTTTTAGGAAAATAAAAACTTAAATTTATACAGCAAACGAACGAAAATTACCTCAAAACGTCCTAGTTGTGTGTCGACACACACACACACACACACATGCACACCGGCATACACACATACATTTGTTATTGCACTTACTCAACTCTTAACGGCAAAAAATAGACCAACTAACCAAACCACCAGCAAACTACTTCCACAAAATTACTGGTGCCTGTTTTGCTCTTCCAAGGCGTATCCCTTCCCCCCTAGCAAAGTTCTTCAATTCCAAATGTTGTAACCATTGAGTGGTGGTAGTGGTGGGAATTGTACAGCATAGATTCATTGGAATAGAAGCAAGAAAACGACCACCTAATTTGGCGAAAATTTTGCACATTTCCGTTTCCTCAACTGGTGCCTTGCAGGGCATAGCCTGCAACTTTGGCTCGTACAATTGTTTGAAATGCAAAGACAAACCTTAATATTTCTCTGGCTTCTTTTTTCTTTGCCCGCACACAAAACTTGTGCACATTGACTTGTATGGGTAATTCCATAGGGATTCTAATGTCAACATGAAAGTTATCAATATTTGTGTGTGGCTTTCTCCTGGAAAACAACTGCACACATAGTGAGGAATGGAACTCTTCTAGGCCAGATGGAATTTTCCATGGAAGAGAATGTTGTGGAATGTATGTTTTGTTTCTGTGGAATTTCTATCGATGGCCTTGTAGTTTTCAATAGATATGTTAACTGGTAGCAGACTCTTAAAGGTCATAACCGGCAAACATAATAGTATTGAAAGGTACAGACGATCTTTCATGGAATGTTGAGCCTTGAGTACTAAAAACCTAGTCAAAATTATTATATATCGCCACTGGGGACCTAAAACTGTAAATCTTCAGAAAAATGATAGGTTTTCTTAACGTCATAACCCTGATAATTTTATGCAGTCAAATTGAGCCCTTTCGAGATCACAGTTGTCTCTTTTATTAAAATTTGAAGTCGATCGCTAGGTCTCTCTGATATATCGATTTCGGAGATGGGCAACATCGATCCACTGCTCCTGGTACCTGCCCCACAAAATGTCTAATTTTTCACAAAAAATATTTTACAGAAAGAAAGAAAAGATAACCCGATTTTGCTCCAACTTTGCAAATCCTAATAATTGAAACCTTATTATGTCAGGTGCGAAAATGGACAATATCGATCGTCTCCATCGAGCACCTTCCCCACAAAGGGTCAACATTTTGAATAATTATAACTCTTCTCTAAAAAGAGATTGTCTTCAAACTACACACATCCTAATATTTTTTCCAGCGCAAGATCTGGTGTGAAGATGGGCTATATCAGTCTACACATTCAGGTACCTCCCCCATAACCGGTTCATAAAGCTCATAAAACTAGAACTGAGCATCCGATTCCTCTCAAACTAGGTACATCCCAAAATTTCTATAAACAAAAGATCTGGTATGAAGATGGGTCAAAGGGTTAAAATTTTGAATATATACAAAGCTCATAAAATGCGTAATTCACATCCGATTTCCTTCAGACATGGAACATCTAAATATTTCTATCAACAGAAGATATGTTATAAAGATAGTAGAGATCGGTACCTCCCCCACATAGAGTCAAAGTTTTGAATAACCAAAACGATTATAAAATCAGAAATTAGCATCCGAATATCACACATGCCATTATTTCTACTAACACATGATCTTCTGTGAATATTAAATATATTGGTCCACTCCCACAAATGGTTAAAATACCTTGTTTCTCATAGCCCAAATCGATTTGATATAGTCCAAATCTGACACATTGTAATATGTATATTGGACTTAAGTCAGAAAGGAAAAGGACAATATTGGCCCACACTTTCGGAACCTCCCCCATTAAATGGGATGTTGAGGCTAGTTTACAGATAAATTCAGAGTCATGATTTTTCACCTTAATTGATAAAATTTTTATAACATAGTTTTAGGGGCTAACCGCTAGCTAAACGGAAATTCTTAATAAGTTCAAAACAGGTACATGCTTTCTCCCTACCCACCTTCGTTAGGAATATCTCAAATACTTGTCGATGGACACAAACTTTGAAAAGGAAAAAACAATTTGAGATCATTGACGACGCCAAATGTTGTCGTAAATCTATTCTCATACGACGTGGAATGACTGGCTAATGTGCACTTCCATATTCCCTGAAATGGGTAAGAAAATTGTATGCAGACCACAATAAAGAAAATGAAAAATACGTTTTTCTTCTAAATGTGTTGTGAATGAATTGCATGTGTGTGTGTGAGTGTACGTGTGCATGTGAATATCTGAGAGCGCAGCAATCACACCACCATTGCCCCTTACTAACCAACACTCAGAGATACACAAACACTTCGTTCTTCTTGGCCATATCAAATGGAATATTTGCAATGAAATAAAGAAAAATACCAGGAAAAAAAAACGACGAAGCATACTTTTTGGGTGCATTCTGGCATTGTTTTGGCATTCTACTACGGGCAAGACAACAAGGTGCAGCTTTCGTATTCTGGCCTTAAAAGTTGACAAGCCTAATTTATCAAAACAGAAAATAAACAGAAACAACAGAAGTTGTAGTTGTGGGGCAAGAGCAGGAGGAGGGGCAGAAGAAGGAGTTGGCACTGCAATAGCGCCATTGCATGTGAATATCTCTGTGTGGCATCAGGAGCAACAACAGCAACAACAACAATAGATAGACATTTATATTTACACAATGGCTTCTGAAAATTTCATTTTCATTGCAATTGTGGTCACGACGGACGTTCTGGGTGTGTTTGTTTGGCTTGTGATTCTTCTTCATCAAATTGTGCCTGGCCCTAGGTTGAGTGTGCGTGCATGTGTGTGTTTGAGTGCTAACTGCCCTTTATGTTCATTCACAATTGCCACCGTGTTCTATCATGCATACTCCTTTTGCTTCTTGTGACGTTACTTCTTTGTAGATTTATAATTTTTCCACCACCAACTCCCTCCTGCCCCCTCATCCATCTTGCGAGGTTCGTAGACCAAACGTTTCTTAAATGCACACTCACCCAACGACTTATGTATGTTGTAGCATTTAAGAGTAATGTTGTAAATGTTATGTACTAACAAACATTTATTTTTTAAAGCATGCTTTAGGGGATCTTATGACTGAGTGAGTGCGTGCATGTATGTATGTATGTATGTGTGTGTGTGTGTGTGCGTGTATGAATGGACGCAGGGAGAATGGTTGCAAAATTTAGGTGTTGCTACAAAAGTGCATGTTGTTCAAGCATCTGCAAATTTAATAAATTGTTGTTAAACAAACACCAGCACCTCGCCCCATCTCAAGAGTAACATCAGCAGAATGGGACGGCATCAGCGGTGCCACAACACTGGTCAGACCACTACCATCAACAACCCTAAATGCAACAATGAAAAACTCTAGAATAATAATGGAAACGACTGTGGCCAGTATACGGTCGGACACAAGAACAATAGTGAATCACATAATTTATTTATGCAATTATTTTATTAGATTGTTGCATACTTCAAGGCTAACACCTATGAACGTTTCCTCTCCCACAATATAGTTGAAGAAATACCCAACTGGTCAGGGGAAGAAGACGACTATAGAGTGGTATTTTGTTGTTCGGTCAAAAAGTTTAAAAATTGAAGATAATTTTTTGTTATGTTTTAAAGAAGGGAGCACCAAAATGATAAAGGGCGAAGTATTAGGTTAGGTCAAGTTACATTTATACTAAGTTGGAAGTTTGGTGGTAGTTGTAAATTAAATGATACAAAAATACATCCTTTAACAAATGTTTCAATTACCATTCGCCAAAGAAGAAAATATATAAATTATGAAATTATTATTTATTTTTTTTTTTTTTTGTAAAAGGCAATGCTTTACCTGTGTACTTATAAAATATATTACATCTACATATCTCCTCATACTAATATTTTTCGATTCTTTTCAGCATGTCCTTTGGCTGGTACCGAGCCGAAGTGATTGGAGCCCTGGCATCGGTTGTCATGATTTGGTTCATAACAGCCATTCTGGTATGGCTGGCCATACAACGTGTCATAAACCAAGATTTCGAACTGAACGCTCCAATCATGTTAATAACATCAGGCTTGGCAATTTTGGTCAATTTAATGTAAGTACAAATAATAACTGTCTAATGCGATGTTAGCTGCCTGAAGTAGTATTAGTATATTTCCATGCCCGAGTACCTGCTACGAATTCCATCAAATTATATTTACAACTTTTTGTTTCCTATTTCTTACTTCCTTCCGGTGCGAGCGCTCTTTGGCGATGTAAACACAGAGCATTATTTGTGTTTCTCGTTTAGTGCCTGGTTTTCGCCGTTCTCTTTGCACAGGGACCGGATCGGACTTGTTGTTAGGTATTTCATTCAGGTTCACTGTCGGCCAAGAGATTTGTGTCAACAAGCTTAAGATTTCAGCATTTGCTCTGGCTGCAAGTGCTGTGCCGTATTTACACTTTAGTTGATAATTTTTGCAGCAGATTTTTTTTGGCTTAGCACTTGTTTCGTTTCGTTTTGGCTTTGCTTTAGTTTAGCTGATGTTGGCAGTTTTTTTTCTTGGCTCTTTAGATAACTACAGTTTAGTTCCGCTGAGATTTGTCGTCTGAATTTGTTGTCGCCGAGTTAAGTTGTAGCAGAGTATTTGCCACTTGGAATTGTTTGATAAACGTGTTTGGCATGTTGGCACATTGAGTTGGCTAATTGAAACGAATTATGGTGTAAGGAAGGGGCTGAAGTAACAGGGGTGTTGCTGATTAAAGCCCATGTACGTGTAGTGTAGGGGAATAACAATTGCGGAGTGGAATTAATTTAAGTTTTTTAACGGTTGTACTCAAATACAGGGAAAATAAATAAGTTAAGGGGGTAAATAGTTCTCCTTCAGTCTACAGTCGCAAGGGGATTTGGCTGGTATTCCTACATGACAGCTCAAATATGTTCATTGCTTAAATATAGTCATAAATATACACGTTTTACGGAAGCTATTTTAAAATTTAAGTCGTGAGTTTGGAATGGTGGGGAATTATAATTTTCGGAGAAAATATAAGTGTCAAAGTTCACACAATCTTAATATATATTGGCTTTTAAAGGCATCAACTTTTTTTGTAATATTTCAAACAGGTATTTTAGAAATATAATCTTGAATTTTTAGGAATATTTTAAAAAAAGTATTATTCTCGAATTTTTAGCAATTTCACTTGAAAAAAAAAAAAAAAAAACTTTTTCACCTTTCAAAGGACCTGAAGACCTGCCACATATTATTGTAGATTTTCTCAGCCATATGGCTAGAGGAGCCGGTTTTAGACCCTATGTCTCTTTGGACCAAATCCGTTTCAGGACATTTAGAGTCGGTCTATCGATGTCCATCCGTCCGTCCATCTGTCTGGCTGGTGCCCACGATAACTCTCGAAGGGAGTATCCGATTTGATCCAAATTTGGTACATCGTAATATTATTATCAAACTTAGATCGAGTCCATCTCTGAAGGACAAAATTGGTTCAACCCTTCTGGTACTTCCACCACAAATGACCGAAATTTTCATAAAAAAAAAACACAAAATATATTTTACTGCACAAAAAGAGAAAAGATAATCCGATTTTGCTCCAACTATGCAAATCCTAATATTTCCATCAGTGCTAGGTCAGGTGCGAAAATGGACAATATCGGTCCACTCCATCCAGTACCTCACCCACAAAGGGTCAACATTTTGAATAATTATAAACCTTTATGAAATGTGATATAAGAGTCCTATTGTTTTCACAATATTTTTATTAACCTAAGGTCTGGAGTGAAGATGGAATATACCGATCCACTCTTTCTGTTACCTCCTCCTCAAGGGGTCAACATTTTGAATATTCATGAAGCTCATAAAACACGAAAATAACATCCGTTTCCATTTCCATTGGTACATCTCAATATTTCCATCAACACAAGATCTGTTATGAGAATGGTAGAGATTAGACCATTCCTTCTGGTACCTATATAGGGTCAACAATTTTAATAATCATAACTTAAGGCTGGTGGTATACATCTTTCAGCAAAACCGACTGATACTATTTTACTTGTTTTTACAAATTTTTATTTTTGAGGAATAGTTTATTAAGAATTATTAAGCAATTTTTTCCGAGGAATTTCGAATATAAAATCGTTATTATTCCCCCCAGTATAAAATCAGGTGTATATTAGACATTCAATTTTGTACAGGCATTTGAATGATTGGCATTAAAAATGAAATATGGAGGTTTGCGTTTAGGCATAGCTCCCATATTTCCCATATTTTCTCCTATATATTAGTCGGTTTCCGCCGCAATTTCCAAACAAACAAGCAAAATTTGTATTAACTCACCACAAAAATAAAGTTACATCCCCTATACATTAGATCTTTCAAATTTTAGAAATTTTGATTTTTCCTAGTGAATGGTGTAGGGTATAAAAAGTCTGGCTGAATTCAATAAAAGGCTGGCTGAATTTAATGTCGTTTTTTACTTCTTTAAGGGAGAGCAAGAAAAAAGAGATAGAGAGACAAATTAAGAGAGATTTAACTTATATAGTATTTCCCAAAGGACATTCAGAGCTGCATCCTCAGATCGTTTGTTAATGTTTTCCATTCAGCTAATAAGGATTTTGTATGAAAAAAAAAAAAAAACATGAACATGAATCCATTCAACTCCATAAATTCTCATAACAACCCTCGTATATGAAACAACTGATATTTACTTATTTTCCGCATTCTCCATCGTCTTCGCGTCTAATAGCGAAGCATAGCAAAGCTGAGATTACATAGTGTCATCTAAATCACAGCAACCCCAACGCTAACGAGTGTCAGCTTTGTTGGTTGGCGAAATTTTGCGTTGATATTTTTATTATTTTTTTTTTTTTCGTTAAGTTCTGCTGCTAAATGCTAAGCTTTCACGCTTTACTTCTTGTCTTCTATATTTAGTGTGTCGTGTGTGTGTGTGTGCTACACATTCCATAACAGATTTCGCCAGTAAACAGTGGAATTTTGTTTCACGACACCGGCAAACGACGACAATGATATTTGTCGTTTTGCAAAATACTGTGACTCCATCTCCATTTGTAATGTCTGAACTCGAACCATGTGAGTGTGTGTCTAGATGATTGTAAGGAAATATGAAGGGGAAATATAATTGTTGGTGTAAAAGTATGTGTGAGTTTGTGAAAAAGTCGCGTTTTTAGAGAAATCCTGTTAAAATATATTTTCAACACACTTTAATTGCTTTTGTCGTTTCTTTTTTTTTTTTGTAATGCAGCCAGTACTCCTGTTTTGGAGCATATGCTTTTTGAATGTTTCCAACAAATTATTAGGGTGGAACTAAAAAAAAATGTGTTTTTTTCTCTAGTTGTTTATTGTGGCTAAGTTAGAATTATTTTTTCATCAATCTGCATAAACTATTAAATATTTTAGTAATCAATTCCATTTTTTGCGTTGATTGAAATTTCATTGATTTGACTAGATTGATTTGGTCGCTTTGGAGTCTGATGAGCTAATTGTAGAAAAAATTCCCCAACGATTTTGATGCCCCACTCCACTGTTTGAATGTAGCGGTACAAAGCATAATACAGGATTAGAAAATCTTCCTATGTGTGCATGTGGTGGGGAATGTTTGCGAGGCTTGTCGTTTGTTTTACGGATGGCATGGCTTGGCGTTTTATCATCATTGCCGTCATCATCAAACGCGTCATCCATGGCGGGTCGGTCGGTCGGTCATCATGAGCATTTTAGTTTCAGCTCGTCCTTTTTATTTTATTATTATGTTTTGTTCCGCTTTTTTTCCGCAACTCCTTGATGCTGCTGTTGGATTCATTTTTATTTAATTGTTGCAAGTGTATGGGATGCGTTTGTATGTATGTATGTATTAGTGAGTTGTTTTTTTTTCTATAAATTTTCAGTATTTGTATAACTCTTATGTTTACTTTGTTTAGTGTGATGGGCTTTGCTTGTTTTGCCTCTGACATCCAACAAAACTGGGCAGCGCTACCAGTTTGCCTCTCAGATTTAAAGGCATGTGTGTTTGTGTATGTACGTTGGTTAGTTTTGATATTTTTGTGAATAGTTTTTTTTTTCATTCGTATATTCACTCATTCATTCATTCGTTCGTTCGTTCGTTCTGTACACTTAAAAGAACGTTTCAAACAAACAACTTTGTTTATAACAATTGCCAGGTCGCAGGTGTTGTTGTAGTTGTTGTTCCTTTGCAAAAGAGTAAGAAATTAAACGAAGCATAAAATAAATTCAGGCATATGCTTAAAGGAGTAGCATACATATGAGTGAATTTATTTGCCTTGCCTATGCATGTGTATATGTTTATTTGCGTATGTGTGTGTGTTTTGAGGTTTATAGTTTTTTTTTGTTTTCTTTTTTAAATTACAATATATCTGAACATATATTTGTGTGTTTGTTGCGCATGAGAAGTGTGTGTTATAATTTTTTTATAGACTTAACCGGAAAATCTGAAAGTTTCTAAAACTGGGCTAGGCAAACAGTGGTTATATCAATGGAAATGTGATTCTCTATTGCTCTTTTTGGTAATGCAAAGAAATGTATTAATTATTCATACAAAACATAGCCTGAAATACTGCCATCTTTATTTATCCATCTGACATCCCCTCTGAATCTGCAATTTTTGGAAAATTTACACTTTACTATTTACAAATCTACCCACTTACCCAGACATCCTGTTAAAGAGAATACATTGCTTTAGTGGTAATGGAAACGAATTGAAATAGAAGGCAAGATTTTACATTAATATTTCTGATCGGTTATATTAACACTTACTATTCCGCAGGCCTTGCGACATGAAAATGTGCCTAGTCGATGTAAAGGTTAAGACACCTACGTTTCTTTAGACAAAATCGGTATTTTTGGCTTCAGTGCAAGATAACTCTCAAAGGAAGTATGTGGCCCGAACTTGGAACATGGCAATAGAACTAACAAAACAAGTAAAAAAAACATTACGTTCGGCCGGGCCAAACTTTTAATGCCCTCCACATTAGAAGAAATGTGTCATAAACCATTAAAATGCCGAATATCATGAGGTACTGTTATATGGGGGCTATGCCAAATCATGGACCCATATATGCACTGTTTCGCC